AGCCATAGTGGAAAGTGTCCATTCAGTTTATGTATCAGTTCTGTATCTTACATTTGTTGTAAACCAGGAATGCATATTTTGTGCATGAAGTTCTATTTTTGAAAGTTCTTATCCATTTTAACTATTTCTTTGGACATGTATTTTCAAATATCAGCGCTCTCTGATCACATTCAAAATAAAACAAGTTTTCTAAGCTTTTCCATGGATTTTCAAATCAGTTTAGATTTTGACTTGCAGTAGTCACAAATTTTATAGTCATTAACTTAAATTTTTGTTTACCAATGCTGCTAGAAATGTCTAAATATTTACAAATCAGGACCTGGAAGGGCACAGTCATTAGCAGAATAGGACCACAAGTTACAAACTGTCTGTTGCCATCATTGTCTCTTGAATCATTTTTAAATCCAAGGTAAACATTAGTTGTCTGTCTGACTTGCATCTTTCTTACTACAGATACAAAAAAGAAATTTACTCATAGATGAGAGTTCATGAGTGTTTACTGAAAAAAAATATTTTTGTAGCTATTCCCCCAAACCCAAAAGGAATTAAAAAATGTGCTCAAGAGCATATAAACTCAAGCAAATGATTGGCATAAAGTTTAGGACATGCTAATACTTAATCTCTGCCTCCAGATTGCTAGAATTATAGGAGTATACCATATGTCCAGCTTTGTTTACTTCTCCTTGGAGACTTAGAGTACTCCTAAGTATAGATTTTGATGCTAGATGAGCTGAGCTAAAGAAAATGAGAGGCATCACCTTATCATGTAACTGGCTCTTTTTTTTAAGAGTTCCCACATTTTATTACCATCAATTAGATATACAAGGGACTGTCATTTTGACATGTCCTTATATACATACAATATACCTTGATCAGACTCATCCACTCCATCCCTCTCTCTCCTCTCCCCTTCTCTCTTCCCAAATCAGCGAAAGTGCTTTGTTCTATTTCTACCTAAGAACATAAATTGTCTTTTTTTTTCATATTTACCCTCTGTCCCCCTTTCTGTTTGCCCTCCCCCTCCCACGAATACTCCTATTCCGGGTAGGACTTGCTTTAAATTCCTGTCATTTGTTTTTATTTTTTTAAAGTGTATACTTAAAAAAAGAAAATTGGGCAACTTGTTCTTAATTACTAATAATTATAGTTATGTTACATTAGAGGCTTGTTCTTTATTTTACAAAGAACACATAATATTATAGGCTTATTTAGTGATGATTAGATAGATATTAAAATTATATAAAGACAAAATTTTAAGCCCTATTAGCTTTGTCCTGGATGAAGCAACATATTTGTTTCAAATATGATGATATGATTACTGAACAATAATGATCAGTCAGTCATAAACCAAAGGTATAACACCAGATTCTTCTAAATTCAAATGATGAAATATTCATTTGTGTTTTATGTCAATTACATAAAAATATTATAAATAATAAAGGACACTAGATTTTTTACTCCTTGTTTTTGTGGAAGGTGTTATTGATGGAAGAAATAGAAATAGAAAAGTACCTATTTCATAGAGAAATGTGAATAATACTGTGAAGGTTAGAGGCTGTAGAAAGAAAGAGATGAAGAGGGAAAGAGAAACACATATCACATTATAGAGTACTGGTTTTGTACTTTCTAGACTGTGTGTGTATTTTAATATCATCTTTACACCTGTAGCTTTGCAATTCTTTTGTTTTTAGATCATCCTTTGAATTCAATTTCAAAGCAGAATTGAAAAAAACAAAGGTAAAACTCAAGGTCATCTTGTTACTTTCCAGTAGTTCTTCAAAGAAAAGTATTCTGCTCTGGAAAGGGGATCCAAAAAGGATTCAATGTTGTCTGTGGTTTCTAATCAGTCACCATACACATAGATAAATCTTATTATCAGAAATCTTTGAGAAATGATACAGTACACCTGTTTCTTTGTCCAACATACTTAATCACTTATTGGTCTCTACTCTTTGGTTTTTGATGGCTTATTTTCACTTTATTTTATTTCATTTTGTTTGTTATGAGGCTTGATCTCAAGATCCAGGAGCTGTCTCTGAACTCTTTTGTTCAAGACTCAAGGCTCTACCTCTTTAAACCATAGTGCTACTTCTGGTTTTGTGTGTGTGTGTGTGTGTGTGTGTGTGTGTGTGTGTGTGTGTGTGGTAAATTGGAAATAAGAGTTTCACTGGCTTTTCTGCTCAGTCTGGCTTTGATCTGCTATCATCATATCTCAGCCTCCTAATTAGCTAGGATTACAGGCATGAGCCACCTGGCTTATCTTATTTTATTTTTCTTTCTTGTTTTTCCTTTTGTCTTCTTTTCTCTTGTTCTTTCTTTCTTTTTTTTAAAGCTGTGAATTAAATGCAGTGCTTTATGTATACTAAACATGAGCTGTACTGTTGGGCCAAAACCTCACTTTCTACTATTTTCTTCCTCTGCTTTGGGGTTTTGTAAGCTTCCAATATTTATAAGCACAATACATATAGCAGCATTCACACTTTTCTAGGCAAAGGGTCCATCTTACACTAAAATATTATTATTGTTGTTCTTGCTATTTTAGTTAAATATTTTAACTTTTTCAAACTAAGCAAAGGACCATTTGAGAATACACTTTGTTTTTATATTTTTAAATAACTAGGCATCAAGAACTATGTTTCTTACTGAAATGAATTTCTATTAGTGTTTAACATCCTGTAAAGACTTTGGAACTTACAGATTTTAGATTTTATTTTGAACATGAATGATGATTGCACAAGTAATGATAGCTTGTAGCTTGAGTAACATTTTAAGTAGATAATACTTTCCTATATAGAATGTTAAATTATGTTGTTATTTTGTTTTAAATATCTTTAAGTCGTTGGACAAGGGGTTTTCAACACAACATGTTATTTTTAAGTAATAAAGATTTTGATTACATAACCAACACTATCTTAAAAACTCAGCAATTAAATAAGCAGTATGAATTTATCTATGTCAGGCACCAGTGATTCACACCTGTAATCCTAACTCCAGTTTGAAGCCAACCAGGCAGGAAAGCCCATGAAACTCTTATCTCCAACTACCAAAAAAGCTGGAAATGGAGCTGTGGCTCAAGTAGTACAGTGCTAGCTTTGAGCAAACTGTTCAAGGATAGCATCAGGCCTGAAGTTTAAGCCACAGTACTCATACACATATGTGCATGCATAGAAACACATACACACATGTACACCCACACAGACACCCCCCCAAACACACACCATACACACAAAGAATACAGCTATACATCTGTTATATAACAATTTTATGTATTTAAGACTTTTGTGGACTGCTTTATGTTTTTATGAGACTGATAAAATAGCGTGAACATGAGTTTTAAAACATTTAAATGAGTGATTTAAGTTTGTTTTTAAAGCAATATTATGAAGGATTTGCTTATCCACTCCACCAGTAAATACTTGGCCATATATAGACTATCAAGGAGTTTAATCCTAACAGATGTTCTCTTAAAACACCTGTTGGAGTCAATTCTGCCACTGGCCCTTTCAAGGGAATGAAGTTTAATATTCTCAAAGCAGTGAGAGCAAGCTAGTTGGAATGTTAGAAATGTACATTTGCCATCTGCCTCTAAGCCTCATCCTAGTAAACCAGCTCCTGATATACCGTGTTGATCTTTTGATTGTCTTGTTAATAAGAGAAAGCCACAAATACCATTAGGATTGACTAATGGATACTTCTGAAGTTCGTTAAAGGGAGTGATTTTACTTAATAAGCCAATAAGCAATGAAAATTTTCCCTGTTTTTTTCTTTAAATTTTGCTTCTCACTTTTATTGTTAATGCTGTGACTCTGTGGACAATAAACATGTTCACAAAACCAAAACTGTGGTTGTGCAGTGAAGAGGGTTAAGAGTTCTTTCACTGTCTCCCAAGTAGTCTCAAATTGTGCTTGACTCTAATGAAATATGCCAAACATATGTGTGACATCCGCTTCAAAAGCGGATGTCACACAATCCGGGTTAGTATCATTTCTTCAGTATATCCATCATTTTCTATGTGTAGTATAGGATGGAACCAAGCACTGTTGGGTTGAAGGTTCTGAATAGGAATAGCTGTTTGAACGCTTTAAATTTGAAACAGCAGAATTGCTCCCTGATCTGGCTTTAGTGAGTGGGAAGATCATCTTCATCTTTACACCTTCCTGCCCTTTCTAAAAATAATTGGGCCTTTAACAGGGAGCTATTTTAAGCAGCTCATGTTCACTCCCTCTCATAGGGAGATGCTTATTTTGGCCACTCACACGTGTCAGATTCGCATGTGTGCACTTTCGGAATACTAGACCATGCTTCGCACCAGTTGTATAAGAGACTTGCCAATGTAAAGACACTGCGATTACTAGCTTCGGAGTCAGAGGGTTCATATAATTGCAGGGAAGACCTGTTTTTTTTAGGGATGTGGATATGCTCCTGAAATCCTCCATTTCAGACGCTGGCACATCAATCCTCAGCTTTTCGGATCTGTTTGCATAAAACCTGGCTGCGATTCTGCTCCAGAGACCTCCGTGATCTTTCCGCATTTAATAAACACTGATAGGAGGCACTACCAGCCCGTGGATAAGGGAAAACTAATGAGAAACTGCCATCCAATATCTGAACAGCAAAGACAAAACCAAGCCAACCCCCAAAGCCCAAAGCAAAACCAACAAAGAACAAGTCAAACAATCCATGCTCACAAGAAGACGCGTAGAAAAAATACTGAGATGTAAACTTGAGTTGATAATTGACCTAAATCAGTCACTTGACTGGCATGGAGTGGGTACTTTGTATTTTTCTACTTTGAAAAAAAAAAGAGTACAAATCTATGTTATTCTGAACAACTGGGACCAAAAAAAAATTATGGTGTGAGAAAATACAGACTCTAAAAGCAAGATGGAATTTAAGCAGGTAAAGCCTGTTTCAGAGTCATGTCATTCCAGTGCAGTTGTACCTAGACCTCGTGTATGCGCCTCTAAGAAATTTCCATTTTTTCGCATCAAAAAATCCAGATATGAAGCTGAAGCTGCTTTCTTCGCCAACCTGAAGCTGTCAGATTTCAACATCATTGACACCTTGGGAGTTGGAGGTTTTGGACGAGTAGAGCTGGTAGGTAACCACTCTTTAAATGCTTTTGAAAGTCTCTATCTCCCTGTGCTTTGTCCCTCATTGCGTAAGATTTCACTCTCTTTTGCATTTTTCTCTCTTGTCATTCTTTACTCTTGTTTCAAAGTTAGGATAAAATACATTTATTCAGGCATGTCAGAGCCTATGATGAAGAGGGGCTGTACTATGGAGTCATGATACTAAATGAATATGCAATGATGAATAAATACGAAATCACTTTTTACCTCTTCATAGTAAATGAAAGGTTAACACACTCAATGCACAGCCAAAAAGCGCTGTTTACTCAGGTGATTTTCTGTCATTTTTGCTTCCTACATTATAAGCAGTTTTCACTAACAATTATGTAATCTAATGGTAATTATAATGATTTAAGTGTAAATTTAAATACATATCAAAGAAAGTAGACAAAATGTATATTGTCATGTATACATAGACTTCTCTCTCTATCTATCTATATATGATTTAGTCATAATTATGTGGCTGTGTAGTCATAAGTACTTATTAAGGTTATTGTGATTGTAGTATTTTATATAATTTACTTCACACATACTTTGCACACACATACACACACACAGACAATAATGAAACTCTTCTGTATGGGTTTTGTTTAACACAGTTGATGATGTGAGAGTATCTCCTATTTGGGATGTTTAGGCATAGTACCTTAAAACTGAAATAAAAAGTAGAAAAAAATAAGTACACTCAGATAACCTGGGTAGGTGCATTCCAAGACTATACAGCTACAAACTCTATTTGAGAATGCCAACTCATTTCCACATTTTTGCTGAACACAGAGGAATCCTTGACATCAGACACTAGTATAGTATGCTAGAAACTCCCTGAGACTGTATATAGTGTAGTAAACAGTTACTGTTGCCATTAGAGGCAGGAGAAATCCCCTTCCATAAAGGTAAAATTACCTAAGGCTATTTTTGACATTTGTCCACTTGTGGTGCAATTGGGATTTTGGACTTTGACAAGTGGTATAAGAGGCTAATTTCTTAAATGCTACAAACGAATGTTTTAGAGTAATGATGTTAATGATTGAATTTACATTCTTCCTTCCCTTAATATTGGTTAGAGAGACTGTAGCAAAACGACTGTTTCTGACAGGAATTCAGAGTATGTCTCTGATGATTTCAGATATGCAAGTAAAACCCAAGTAAAGGTTTAGAGAAACTTCTGAATCCTATGAATTGATGTAGCTTTAGATTTATTCTTTTGTGGAAGTTATAATTTTTCACATGGCCAATAAAGATGTATTGACATCATTATACATGAATATTTTTGCTCTGCAGGTGTTGGGACATACAGGTAGAACAGAGGGTGGGATTCTTTACCAGGATTGGCTTATTGTCTGGTGTGTCATGCAGTAAATGAACACTAAGATAACAGTGTACCATCGAGCAATATCCACACCATTCACAGTTAGGAGGAAAGAAGCAGAGTTAATCTCTAGTGCAATGACAGGAAGTTTCTCTTTACTGTCCTCTGAGGATGGCACATTCAGGATAATTTTATCAATCTTAGAGGTGGATAAGCAATATGATCCTCAGACCACATATTTCACTCTGTACCCATTGTTGTCCATGCTAATAATAAATATATAATGCATATAGCTTAGACCTAAGAGCCATTAGCTTAAGGATAATACATATCTGGTGAATGGCTTTATTATATGATACCAGAAATTATGCTTTGATATTATAATCAGATTTTATATTTTTTCCAGGCATAAGATTATGAATTCTCAATTGGGGTATGAAGAGTTTAGAAATTTGATTTTGAGCTATACTTCCTGTTAGAGCTAAGACTATAGTTTTGTTGTTGTTGTTGTTTTTGGTCATGGAGCCTGAACTCTAGGCCTGGGCGCTGTCCCTCAGCTCTTCAGCTTAAGACTAGTGCTTGACCACTTCTGGCTTTTTCTGCTTATGTGGTGCTGAAGAATTGAACCCAGGGCCTCATGCATGTAAGGCAAGCACTCTACCACTGAACCACCTTCCTAGCCCAAGAGTGTAGATTTTTTTCATTACAATTGACATGGAAATTATAGTTGTGTGAATATACCATCTCTAGGTTTTATCTTTTAGTTTTTATCTTTAGTTTTTATCATTTGTCAATTGGCATAAATTTGGATGCAGTATTTTTTCAGGCTGGAGTATTTCTAAATAATATCTTTTCAATTTTGGAGATGAAGTATCTATTAAGAAATTTCAGATTAGTTGAATGAGTTCAGAAGCTTATAGTAAATGTCCATAATAAACAGGTATATGACCCTAAATTTGTCTGATCGTATCATAAGCACTTTTGGCATAAGTAGATTTAGTCTACTTTCAGACTTGTTCTGTTAATGATCATTATCATTGAACAATAATTTGTATTTCTTTCCTTCCTGTTATGACCTATGTGAAATTTTATGTCCATGTTCTTTAAGAAGGGACCGTTTAATGTATTCAGTGTGACCTGTTCATAATATTTCTTCCAGAATTCAAATAGTCTTTTCACATATAGTGAAATGATTCAGCTCTCTTACAATATGTGGTTCCTCCTTTAGATTTAGTATTACTATAAAGCAGTGAGATAACCCTGTTCATTTATCAAGAATGTCCATGAAATATGCAAGCTGATTTTAGGAATTATAAGTAAAAATAGTCCCGATGCTCTAGCCCAAATTTACTGTACTATTTCTCTTTATAGAGAAGTGTCTGCTTTCAGAAAAGATTTGTGCATATCAGAAACAAACTTTGTTTTTAATCTGTCACTACTATGTGGTTGCTTTAAATTTTAGAAACTTACTCTATTTAGTCAGCAATCCAAAATGCCTCCTCTATACCAATAAACCACATTTAGATAACATATAGAAACAATGTTAGGAGAGACAGATATGTGAGCTCAGTCTTCTAGGATTACTCTCATTCTCTAACACTTACTATATACAAGTATGATGAGATCTCAGAAGGGACAAACCATCTTCAATAGAAACTAGCTTCTAACTCCAGAGGTTCACAGTTTCCTGAGAGGGAAAATCATATCTACCCCAAAATAAAGTGTGAGCAGTCTAGGCTCAATGCAGGAGGAGCAGGGTGTTTGGGAGAATCAGAGGAACAAAAAGGCATTAATTAGGGCTGGGAAGGTGGCTCAGTGGTAGAGCGCTTGCCTTGCATTCATGAGGCCCTGGTTTGATTCCTCAGCACCACATGAGCAAAAAGAGAAAAGCCGGAAGTGGCGCTGTGGTTCAAGTGGTAGAGCGCTAGCCTTGAGCTGAAGAGCTGAGGGACAGCACCCAGGCCCAGAGTTCAGGCCCCACAACAGACCCCCCCCCAAAAAAAGGCATCAATTAAATACCCGAAGCATTATAATACGTAATTCATTCAATGAGACTTGGGCACAAAGAGATGTGTTTTTCCCCTCCATGGTAATAATTGTCTTTATTTCTGAATTTTAATTTTTTTCCTTTTTATTTATTGTTTATTTTAATCTTATTGTCAATGTGACATACAGAAGGGTTACAGTTACATACATAAGGTAGTGAGTACATTTCTTGTCGAACTTGTTACCTCCTCCCTCATTTTTATCATTTTTTCTCTCCCCTAATCTCCCCACAAGTTGTACAGATCATTTCTAACATATTGTCTTGTGAGTATTTCTGGTACATTGATTCCCCCTTAGTCCTTTGTCTCACCATTTTTTTTTATTCTCATTCCCTTCCCTAATTTAGATGAACTATACAATACTCAGGGCACCCAAATCAAATATAGGAGAGGGGAAACACAAAAGGAAAAAGAAATCACATAGTACATTAAAAACAACAACAACAAAATCATCTTTTATGGTCATAAGTACATAGCTATTGAGCGATTCTGCTCATCTGCTAAGATTGTCCTAGAGCTTTACTGACAAAAAAAAATCTAAGATATATCTATTTTATGGTGGTGGTGGTGATGTTGGTGGTACTTGATAGCAGACAGACTCTCAATACTTTCACAAGCAAAAAATGACAGAAAATGTTTCTAACTTTTTAGAGACAAACTAGATTTGTTCCATGTGTTTACATTATTTATTCTTCATATTTTTTCTTGTAAAAGCCAGAACACCTCTTGTCTTCTCCTTCCAGAGTAGCTATGAGGGAGGAATTATATGTGGAAATGAAGTCAATTTGAGGATGATAAAGTAGGGTTCAAATGAAAGGTTGATGATTTTAGTGAAGAAGTAATAAAGAAAAATATGAAAAAAACGTCTCTTTGTTTATACAATGGACTTCTGTGCTTCCAACAGAAAGAATGACACTGCCCACTTGTAAGGATATGGAAGGACTTGGAAAAAACTCATATTACATGAAGTAAGCCACACCCAAAGACACACACGTCCCATGTCTTCCCTTACTTGTAATAATTAGTAAACCTCTAAGACAATCTTAGCAGATGGGGTTTGAACTCTGGGCCTGGGCACTGTCCCTCAGCTCTTCAGATCAAGGCTAGCTCTCTACCATTTGAGCCACAGCACCACTTCCAATTTTCGGGTGGTTTATTGGAGATAAGAGTCTCATGGACTTTCTTGCCTGGACTGGCTTTGAACTGTGATCCTCAAATCTCAACTTCCTGAGTAGCTAGGATTACAGGTGTGAGCCACCAGCACCCAGCTCATATACCTTAGCTTTAAGAGCATTCATCTAGAACTCAAGAATCTTAACAAAATACAGTTTTTAAATAGACTTATTGAGGAGGTGCTGTACTTGTCTCTTTCTGACAAACTTGCAGAGATTCTCCTGTCACTAAATATGTTATCCTATTTTACTGGCAGCATGTGTAGAAGAAAGAAATAATGAGACAATGTAATATGGTAGCTCAAAACAAGAGCTCTGAAATGAGAGTCTCTGGCTCAGATCTTACCCACTATATGCTTAGTCATTAATTCAAACATCCTTAGTTTCCTCATCTCTGCAGTGAGGATAAGAAAACATGTGTCTCACAGAGTTACAAAGA